CCTCTCCTCTCCTCTCCTCTCCTCTCCTCTCCTCTCCTCTCCTTTTTCTTTTTTCAGTTTATATTTTAGCCACATTCTAGAGTTTTCCATTTCAGACTTGAATATGTTCATTTTCCTTTGGGTATCAAAATACAGAGGCTATGGCTTATGGACACATTAATGACATTCAGTTGTTTCCTGGTAACTGCTCCATTAATGCCTGTCAACATGGCACCTTCTGGGCGCATAACCTCCATGTAGTCAAGACAGCTCTCTGAGTGAAATGGAGGCACATAAAGAACTATTTGCACCAAAAAAAAAAAAAAAGCACAGTGTCAAGATGTTCCAGATGAGATGCCCTGAGAGATTCATGAAGCTGTAGTAGCTGTAAAGAAATGCAGATGTGACAAGTGGCTGACAGTTGGGTGCTTTGTTTATAATGCCTCTGAACTAGTGGCAGTCACCTTCTTGGAAGACAGTGATTACCATAAGTAACCTCTCCCAAAGAGTGGCACTTAGAGTAACCACTATCAGAGGATATGCAGGATGCCTGATCCTTTCCATTAGTCTCAGAGAAAAAATACCATAGGTCAAGGCTTGGAAAAATAATAGTAGATTAATATAATAATAAAACAGATCACAGAGTCTGAATAAAACAGACTCCAGAGCCTGAAGGTGCATTGCTCCATTTAATGGTCAAACTGCATTTTGCTAAAGTATTTGGTTAAAGGGACTGAGGCAGGCATTTGAGCTGAAGTAAATCAGGGAGAAGTTGCCTTTGGGTGACTGAAGGGCTGTCACAAAAGCAGCTGTTTGGACTGTTGTACTCTGCCTAAAATATAGATGTACTGCTCCCTGGGCATCCCTCTGCACAGATATTGCTGTGACTATGTGCCTCCACTCCATCAGTAAACAGCACATTGCTGGTATCAGGATGGTAGCCCCTTCTTAAACATGTAGCCATTATTTTTTCTTAGACCACAAAAATAATCTATCCACAGTAAAGCAAATATATAAATAAAGTTTCTCACAACAGTGTTTTTGCCTGAATAATTACTTCCTCAGCAAATTTTCCCATAATAAAACATGTCCTAATGAGCTACCAGGAGGAGAGGAAGTTCATCACTAAAATATCAGCTTGAGAGCACCGCTCATGTCAGATGGAATAATTAATGACTTGAGAGGGAGCATGGAGCAGCAGTCAGAACCACAGTCCTTATCTGTCATTCTGCAGCAGCCTAACTCTGCAGTGCTACTTGATCCATGGAGGGTGAGCCTGATGACTGGAAGAAGATACAGGGATGAAGGGGATGGGGGTAAATCTGGTACATCTCATGTCAATGCACCCAGATTATTTTTCTACCTGTCACAGAGATGGAAATCATAGAATCAAATAATTGTTTGAGTTGGAAGGGACCATTAAATGTCATCTGGTCCAACCGCCATGCTATGAACAGAGCCACCTACAGCTCCATCAGATGCTCAGGGCCAGCATCCCCCACCTCTCTGGGCAACCTGTGCCAGAGGTTATATAGTAGTTATAAAAAACTTCTTTCTTATATCCAGTCTGAATTTCCCCTCTTTTAGTTTGAAACCATTTCCCACTGTTCTATCACAACAGATGCTGCTAAAGAGTCTGTCCCTGTCTATGTTGAACCTCATGAGGTTCTCCTGTGCTTACTGCTCTAGCCAGTCTATGTTCCTCTGGATGATACCCTATCACTTAGATGTGTTGACCGCACAACACAACTTGGCACTGTCCACAAACTTGCTGCAAGTACACTCAATCTCACTCTCAATATCATTGACGAAGATGTTAAAGAGCACTGGTTCCAGTGCTGTCCAGTACTGAGGGACATCACTCATCACTGATCTCCATGCAAACATTGATCCATTGACCACCACTCGCTGAGTACAATCTCACAACCAGTAATAGTAGCAACAGCCATTGATGTCACAGCCTGTTTTGTTGTTGTGACCAGTGTTCCCTGCACGGGTGGCAATGCTAAGACAGCAGACTATTAATGTACTATTAATGTCAGCCACGGCAATGAGAACCTGAAACGGCCATAGTGGGTAAGACCAAAAAGCCATCTTGCCTGGGATCTGATCTATTTCTGGCCTCTTCAGTGTCCTATGATGAGTACCACCGATTCATTACGTGCTGTGTGAAAAATACAAATCTTTTTTTCTCTTCTAAAATTTCTGCTTCATTACTTTGTTTGCTGTACTCTACTACAGGTGACACAAGAAGGAATGAATGATTATTCACCTTATCTTGTGCCTTCCTTCCTTAATTGCCCCATTTAAGGACACAAAGCCTATTTAAGTCTTTTTTATAAAACACCACCACATTTATTCCACTACTGTCTTTTTTTTTTTTTTTTTTTTTCCAAGATTTACACGAGAGTAGAGTATGAGGGATTCGGGCAGCTGCCAAATGAGTTGCAAGTGACAAGTTTAATTTCCACCTGTGTGCACTCTCCGGCGTGTGGCTGCTCCAGCTGACCAAGCACTGTGCTTCAGTGGCTGTCAACCTACTTCAAGCAGTTGTGTTTTACATGTCTGTTAACATTTGCAAATGTCTAGCTGCATTTTCCAAAGCTCCCCATTAAATGCTAGCTTGAACGTGTTGATCAGCAAGGACAACTTTGTGTGCTTTGCAAGCAACCCTCAGGTTTCGCCCCTGCAGCAGTGCTCTATGGTTGCTGGTGCTGAGATTTGAACACTGGGTTTGCCAGAGGCAAAGTGCCCTTGGCATCTGCTGGCTCCTTCTGTGGGCTCCACTGCAAGCAGTAACTAAGCTTTTATGGTGCTGTTGACCTCCCAAGTTAACTTCAGACAACATTATCTGGCAAATCTGATGTATCAAGTTTCAAAGAAAATAGTTTTCCAGCTCAGACCAGGTCTGATTTCCTTCCAGACAAAGAACAAAACCCTTTGGGAACCCAGCACTGCCTGGAATTAAGGTTAAGTGCAATAAACTTTCCTCTTTACTACCAGACTGAAATATCAGCAAAATCTTCTCTGCTATGAGTGCATGTCTATCCCCACAGGGTCAGGCCAGCTCTCTATAACTCATCTTGTATAATTGCAATAGAATTTTTGGTGATCAGGATTGTGTAGGAATCTGAAAAATGGTCTGAACAGCTGTATGACAGACAAAAGCTTTCTTCCAGAAGAAGGTTCTGCACAAAAATCACCTTTCCTTGTATGGATAGAATAAAATTTCATGACAATGTGCATTGGAAATAAATTGCAATGAAGCTGGAATAATGGCTTCAGTAAGAATCCCAGAAGCCTCTGCCCCAAGACTGTAACCTCTTCACAGCGTGGAAAAATAAATGCATTCTGCCCAGTGGAAAACACAAGCATGAAATCCTATATGCAATGTAATTGGCACTGCAGAGCACAGTGGTCCCTGATCCTGGGAATCAAGTGAGCAGTGACTGTCTCTGACAAGCAAGTGTCTTTGCTGTGTCCAGAGCCAGGGCTGGTCCAATCTTGGCTTGATGTTCAGCTTGAGTGCAGGACAACCAGTCTCAACAAAAGTTATCCCGCTTATGGTGAGCCCTTGCAATGCCTTGTATGGGGGTGACCAGCTGGGTTACCAAAAACACTCCATCTGTTGGTCCTGGGGTGGGGACCTGTACACCCTGACCCTTATTGCCATGTTGTTTGATAGTTGTTTGGGTTCAGCTGTGGATTTGGGGAAACAGAGAAATGGGATCCAAGAGATGATGGGACATTGCCCCCACCCACTGTGTACTCTAGGGTCTTTCACACACTCTGGGACAGAAGTGCAGGGGTGTATGTTTGATGTCTACAGAGTGTCCCAGGCATGTTTTAGTCATATTTTTAGGAAAAAAGGGCTAGATTCTTCGGGGAGCCAGCAGCTAGGATGAGGCAGGTTTTTACAGTGGAGGAGGTGTGTCACAGCCACAAGCACAGGTGACACAAGTGCCCTTTGTCATAGGAGGAACACTGAGAGCCCCAGTGGTACCCAGCCCCACAGGGGAGGCACTGATTAATTTAACCCTCTGAGCATCAGCTGCCAGATTTCCCAGAGGAATTTCCTGCAAGGGCTCTCCCTCCCAGCAAAAGTCCTGAAGCCATCAGCATTCAGACAGTGGGGACAGCTCCGGCCGCAGCAGCGTGGTGCTGGAGGAGGCATCGCATTTCATTGCATTGCACTGCGCATCCTCCCACCCCACCCCCTACTGCTGCAGGCTTCCTCCCTGCATCCCTCCATCCTTCCTCCCCCTCCTCCCTGCATCACTCCCCCTCAGCATCCTCCTTCCTGCATCCCTCCTTCCTGCATCCCTCCTTCCTGCATCTCTCCTTCCTGCATCCCTCCCTCTGGCATCCCTCCCTCCCGCATCCCTCCCTTCATCCCTCCCTCTGCCTGTGAGGAGCTGCGGACATGGCTCTTAGCAATTTCCTCTTTGCTCAGTGCATCTGCTACTTCCTGGCCTTCCTCTTCAGCTTCATCGTGGTGGTGCCTCTGTCTGAGAATGGCAACGACTTCCATGGCCGATGCCTGCTCTTCACCGAGGGCATGTGGCTCAATGCCAACCTCACCGTGGAGCGGCAGCGCTTCACCGTGCAGGAGTGGGGGCCTGAGGCTGCCTGCCGCTTCAGCATCTTCACCGGGCTCCTCTCTCTGCTGCTGGCTACAGTGCAGGCCTGGCGGACCCTCTTCTTCCTCTGCAAAGGGCATGAGGAGTAAGTACCCCTGGGGAGGGCAGGGGTGCCCACCCCTCCTGTGGACTGGGGCAGATGGGAGAAGCCTGGGGACCAAACACTCAGCTCTGCACCATCTACAGCCCTGCTAAAGGAGTTAGGGTGAAGTGGTGCCTTGCCTGCACACACACCCTACATGTATTCCACTTGTGCACAGGGCAACCTCAGGAGGATGCTCCTACGCAGGGGCATGGCGTGGGGGACAGATTTGTTGCTGTCCTTTGGTGACTGGGTGCAGCACTTGGCCGTGCCAACCACGGTGGGTATGAAGTTGCTAAGGGGGATGGGGTGATGCTGGAAAGTACCGCCTGCCTTGGTCCCTCTGCACATCCTTGAAGGAGGAGGCCTTTCCCAGACCTATACTGGGTATGTGATAAATCTCAAAGGCAATGTGGCTGTGTCTGTGGAAGGAAGGAGGGAGCGGTAGGTTGTTCCACTGTTATTTTTATTCTGCTTTTCTTGTGAACATGACAACTATTGCAGAGAGCAGCTATCGCTTGGTAACAAGTGAGCAGAGCTGAGTGCTGTGTAGCAGCACAGCTGCTCTAGTGGATTGTTTCTCTTTTCAGACAAACCGAAATGCACCAGGCCCTGCAGGAGGAGTAGGGCCCAGTGTTCCAGGCAGCAGATCAGTGGTGCTGTGCACAGTGTTTGGCTCTCTGGTCCCTGTCTTACTACCTTTGATACAGCCCTTGGCACAGGTCACCCAGATGGTGGGTGCTACGGTGTATTCAAGCATCCAATTGCATGGAGGAGGGAAGGAAGGAGAACACATTGGTGGCTGGCTGGACTTGAAAAGCTATTTTTTGTTTACCACAATGAGGGTGAAGTACAAAACAGAAACTTATTTCCATATTAAAACTTACCTTAGAATAGCTAAGTATAATCATGGACAGTATATTTGAATTCATTTTCCTCTGGTCATCAAATACCTATTGGCAGTAGTTGAATCCAGACACATTTTTTCAGCTTTTTTTCAGACTTTCCCATCTCTCTGCCAGGATGCTGTGACCTGAGTGATCTTCATGCACAGTTATAGTGATGGTGATGACAATGTTTTTTCCAGTGTAGATCAGGTACAGCACTGAGCTCTGCTTTGTTCAGAAAGTCAGAGGCACCTCCTCTGTGCTGCAAGGTAGCAAGAAGAGTGATAATCATTCCTTTTCTAAAGCTGTTATTAGTTCTAGTGTCAACCTTGGTTTTATTCAGGGGTACAAGTCCACTCTTTTCTGTATCTCAGGCTGGCATGAGCCTGGCCTAAGTTAGATATGAAACCAGAGCAGTGACAATGAACATGCAAAACTGTGGCATGCCCATACCATCTCCATCTGCTATGGAGCCTGGCACTGCAGCCGTGAGCCGGTCTGTTGTAAGCCCAGTGAAACTGAAGGGGAAGGATGGTATTCATGTAAACATTAATCTAGAAGTTGGGTGTCCCAGAACCAAGCTCCCCTTACAATCTGTAAGAGCACCTTTGAAACATGACTAATTTAACTTCTTTTGTATGAGCGCTGGGATGGCACGACTGCCCTTTTGAGAGAACATAGACAAATCCTTCAAAGCTCCTATTAATCCAGGACCAAACATCCCAGACCAACTGGTAAATGCTGCCTCAACTCATTTTAAATAAGTCCTTATGAGGCCACATATGTTTTACGATGTGCAACCTGCAGAGTGGCTTGGGTTGCAAGGGACCTCGAAGACCATCTAGTTTCAACCGCTCCTGTCATGGGCAGGGTTGGCCACCAGAAATTAAGATGATCCAGCCCAGAATATTCCTAAGACCACAAACTCAAAAATGCCTCTCAGATTTTAATTTAATGAGAAATCAGGGAAAATAAATGGCTTTTATTAGTATCATTCCCTGGAGTAAGTAGACTCCTTCTATCCCCAGCATAAAGAAAGGGGCAGTAGTGGGCAGTTTGTCATATTCATTCTTATTGAATTGAATACTTTTTTCTTGTGGAGTTGCTAGTCTTTCTGCAACTTAGAATAGGTGCTCAGTTTTTCAGCAGTGAGACTTTGCAAATGTCATTTAGCAGCTTCAAGTAGCAAACAGTTTGGTCAGAAGAATGAGAAAAGGATTAGAAAGTTTTCATTACCTAGAACTCATCGTAGAATCATAGAATCATAGAATGGCCTGGGTTGAAAAGGACCTCAAAGATCATTTTGTTTCAACCCCCCTGCCATGGGCAGGGTTCCCAACCACTAGACCAGGCTGCCTAGGAGAACTGAGGAGAGTTAGGTAGCAAAGTGATCCTCTTTCAGCATAACCCAGTCATGATGAAGACTGCCCATGAGACTGGAAGATGGGTGAGCAATTCCTCATGGCACCACACTGAGCATCTTCACATACCTCGCAGCACATGCTTTGGGCAGGCCCTGGTTGCACAGACTAATGGGGTTGGCGTAATCTAACATCTGGCTGGCAAAAATAACGTATTGACATCGAAGTCAGAGATATCCCAAGAGAAGCTGGCCTGCTCTGCAAATTGCCCATAAAACTGAGATTCGTGTCCTATGATACCAGTAGCTTGTGTTACATTGCTTAAAATGATTATAGCTATCAGTACTGTGTTGTTTTATTTTTATTTTTAGTTTCTCTCTCCTAGGCAATTTTTGTCCCAATTATCATTTTGGTCATGAAATAATTTAAACTCCAGTTGCTGCATAATTTGAGCTAATGGCATTTATTTTAACAATGGTGATTTTCATCATTACAGCTAATGAAGGCCATTCTGTGTATGAACAATTGCCACTTACTCTTTATGATTTAGAGCCACATCCTCTTATGGAAAAAAAAATCAAAGAAGCTTAAAAGTGAGGATAATCTGACTCAAAATCATAATCCATAGATTTTCAATGTATTAGGTTGTCTTAATTAAAGCATAAGCATTTCAAATGGAAACTGATATCTTTTTGCCTGCTATATGCCGCTTAGAGAGACTGCTGATGTTGTGTTTCAGATGTTTATGAGTTACATTTTTCTTCCCTTTTATTACAGCTCTTTCTTTTATGCCTTCCTGAATCTGCTGATCAGCGCCTTTGTGGTGTTTATCACATTTATTGCTAGCACTATAGTGAGCGTAGGATTTAACATGTGGTGTGATGCAATTACTGAAAAAGGAAGCATGCCAAATAGGTTAGTACTAAAGAATATATTTTCTTCTTTTTATTTTTCGTATATGCACAAATGAACGGTGTTGTTACAAACTGTAGTTATTATGTGCAAGGTAATCAAAGAGAAAAATAGGGAACTCCAGATTCATTTCATTTGGAACAAAGCTGGAAAACCAAGGTTTGTTGCTTTTAGTTCCCCACAAAACAAAGTATGGTTTCTGTGATGTTTCATGGTCTCTTGTTGAGTCATGAACACATGCAAAAGAAAACCAAAAAGTTTCACTTATAAAGGAGATCTGGATTTGGAAATACTTGAAGTGGGGAGAGTGGTGCTATGAGTAGGGCAGGGGACTGGGAGACAGGGTCTTGACAATAAAAAGAAAGAAAAGGCTGACATTTTATGTCATATGATATTGAATAAGTATACTACTTAAAGCATACAATAATATTGCACATTGTCATATGTTGTAAAGTGCCATAGCAAATGTTCTGTTTAGGGCTGCAACGATTAATCGAATTGTTCGAATATTCGGTTAAAAATTCAATTACAAAAAGCGTCTAATCGAATATTCGGATAAGAACCCAAGATGAACGACAGCACTGAAAAGGACAGAGAAGAGGCTGCAGAAATCAAGCAAGAGATAGAAAGACAACCTCAAAATCCTGGGAATTTTATCACATCAGTAACAGTCCAAGTTATTTGTAAAATCTGTAGGCAGCCTCTATCTTACCATCAGAGTTCCGTCTCCTTGCTGGAGCATCCGAAACAAAAACACCCATACAATCCCTTCTTCTGAGGCTTTCCCTGATGATGTCAAAAGGTAATGGAGGCTCATACAATTTGTTTCATTGAGGGGTGAAGCAGATGAGCTGGGCTGATGCATATAAGTGGGAGGCACTTGGGGAGTGGGAGAACAGGGTTTTAAGTATAGTGTTTTCCTAACAGCTATTACAGTTCCATTTCATGGAAGATTGGTGTTATCACTTACATAATTACACCTTGTTTTTTAAAAGAAAGTATTTACACGCTTTTTTTTACCCTAGTTATAGAGAAGATTGGCAAGCAACCCAGTTACTGCACCAACTTATATATATTTTTGTAGAACTTGTCATTGTGACTGTTGGAAACACTCAGATGTTTCTTTGTTCTATGTTTGATTTGCCTGTCTGAAGATTCTGAAATAACTTTCTTTCTTCTTCCCCCATCCCCAAATGCTTTCCTTGGACAGCTGTGAAGAATTACAGGATATTGATCTTGAACTGAACTTAGAAAACTCTGCTTTCTATGACCAGTTTGCTATTGCACAGGTATGTCAGACTAGGTCATGGTTCTATTCCAGTTCATTTACCATTGGCAATTGATCTGGGATTGTTGGAGCTGAACTACAGTCCTCTGAAATCAATGGGAATGTTTCCACTGACTTCCATGTGTGGTGAATCAGCATGATTGTAAATGGTCACATTTGCATTTTATATCCAAAACAAATGGTTTTGAATGCAGGCATGTCAAAATTTGACTCTTACTCATCATGGAAAATCTACTGTTTCTGCAAGGTATGAGCTCTTCAAAGGCTCCAATGCTCTGGTGCCCTGGAGCTCTACACTGCTGTCAGGAATGAAATCAGAATCAGAATGGCTGACCTGCACAGACTCTGGGGCTGTGAGCTTTCTCTTTGTCAGAGATACCCTGAACCCCAAATTTGGTTAAGTCCATGTAGATACCTTCATATCAGGTACACTGAGGAAACCACAGTACAAGATATTTGAACATATCTCATTAATGACATGGTGCTTAGGAAATAAATGGAAAGCTTCCAAGTCTCTGTATTTGGTCTTATAAACCCAGATGAGCATATTGTTTCCAAGTCCCATAGAATAATTCAAAAATATTATTTACTCATGAATTGAGATAATGGTACGAATGAGCAGAAATACTTAGGAGACATTCTAAAGTACATAAGACATATAGGACCATACACCTCCATTTACATAACTTTGGCCCTTGTTTACTTAAACTGGCTATTAGAATAAACAGCTGTCCTGCTGTCTAGAAGTGTTCAAATTGTCACTTTTCTTAAAAATAAAAACTGCATTATGTCAAAGCTGAAATACAAGGATTCAATTCACCTGTTGCTGCTTTTTTTTTTTCCTGTTGTTGTTGAAGGCGTAATGAAATTAGAATGGAATTTCTGCCAGAAAACTTTACTACAAACAAGCATCCTCTGAGATAGGGGAGGCCAACAGTGCAGTACCTCAATCAGTAGAAGTGTAGTTATTTGCACAGTTAAACAAGAGAGAGTAAGTTAGCAACTTACTGCAGATCCGAGGCTTTAAGAACAGATCTCAAATGCCATGCATCTATGAGCCACCAGGCACTTAGGAGTGTTGGATGAAGTTTATTTTTCTTTCTGAATTTATGCTATTGTGAACTAATTACCCCACAATGTAACCATTCAATTCATAGTATTTTCTCAACAACATTCTGAATAGAAATGCCTTAAAATTTGTACTTCTCCACGGATAGCATGATGTTCAAAGGATTCAAGAAAAAAGTTCTGGAAAATGTCTTAAAGCATATGATAACCAAAGAGAAATAATCTCAAGAATTTTAAGACAGCCAGAATGTCACATACTTGGGAAATTCAGCAGCTGAATGTGGATTATACAGAGTTCTTCATTGTTGTACTGAGTATGTTTTTGTTTCAGTTTTCCTGAAAAAACATATTGTTTGGTTGTTTGTTTTTTTTTTCCTTTTAAGCTGAAAATAACTAGGCAGGGTTGAGGAGCAGTAGGACCAGAACCTCACAAAGAATAACTTGCAGTGACTCCATGGCCCTTGGTTTGGGTGAGATTTTGATCTTGGACGTTCGATTTTGTCTTTATGAAACACTACTGACATCGTTATCATTTCCTTTCTTCTCTAGTTTGGTCTGTGGGCTGCCTGGCTGACTTGGCTGGGAATCACCATTCTGGCTTTCCTGAAAGTGTATCACAACTACAGACAAGAGGACCTGCTAGATAGCCTGATCCATGAGAAGGAGTTGTTGTTAGGAAGATCCTCTTCACGAACCTGTTTCCAGGATGAGAAAAGTGCCATGATCTAAAGCATAAGCAAATTTCCAGGGCAGGATCCAGAATTTATTATTCAGTAGTGCAAGATGATGTTGAGTCAGAGTATTGAGTGTGTGAGATCTTTTCTTTTCTGAAAAAAGATATACTTGTCAATCACTTACTTCCTCACTGAAAAATTCTTGGCAGAAGTATATATGTTAGGATATAGAGAACAAACGGCCATGTGTGCCTTTGGCGCAGCAAAATTTCTGTCCTGCACACACATGGAGCAGCACAGCCTGTAATCTGCTGTTGTTAGCAGTGCTCCTGTATGCTATTGCTGCCTTTTGGATTGCTGTCCATTTTTGAGGAACATGCTGGCAAGAGCAGGCTACAGAGTCTGGGCTATTCCTCCAAACTGTTCTGCAACAACAACTATAACTGGAGCTGTGACAAGGCTCTCTTCTCTCCATCTCTTCCCCTTTGACAGTAAATCTGCCCCATTCTCACTTTGTTCTAAGCGATTGCAGCTCTGGTCCAGGTACAGGCTCTTGCTGTCTCTGTTTTTTGCTATGTGTGGACAATGTGCTGTTGCTACTGCTCTGATTTTGAATTTGTTTAGAACATAAGACCTATGTTCCAGATGATATTTATTATTAGATGGTGTTAGTGAATTTCATGAATCCACAATATTATTACTGTCTGTTAAAAGCTGTGTGTCATTTCAAGGGATGATGGTGGTGATGGGTTGATGGTTGGACTTAGTGATCTTAGAGGGTTTTTCCAACCTTAATGATTTTAAGAATGTTTGTGTTTTTGTTTCTTCTTAGATTTTGGCATGACCATCATTTATTATGGCTTCTTGAAGCGTAGTTTAGCTAGCAATTTCTGAAGCTTGCATACTAAGAAATTAAACCGAGTTCATAGGATTAATGCTTGTGCATTTGTAAATGTAACTTGGTCCCTAATATTGTATGCTATTCAGTTCTGAGTATCAGAGTTTACTTGTGATATTTATTTCATATAAAGTACGCAAAATTACTGTAAGCATTTGCATTGTAGGTATCTCTGTGTATCTATCAACATAGCAAGGAGCATGAACCGCTGAGTTATTCCGTAGGTAGCCCTGTGCTGAATGGGCCTGTTCCCCACTCCCAGGCAGGAGTTACAGGGCTGACAAATTTTGCTGTGATAAGGGAGAACTGTTACTTTCACAAAGCTCACTCGTGATCCTGTTGATGCTTTCAGTTTTGTTTGGCCAGCATGTTAATGAATGAGGTGGATGAAAAGTAGGTCCAATAATTAAGCAGAATGACTCAGATGAATGTGAGATTTGCATGGCAGAGAAATAAAGTTGTGCTAGAATTAGGCATTTATCCACGTGTGCACAATGCAGAGAACACTCTCATTCAGCAAAAAACTTCAACAAGAAGTTATGTTTCTAAGAGTATCCTGACACTTCCTGTGGCAGCTGAGCTTGAGTTGACACTGAATTTATTGCAACACAGGTGCAGATCATGTCTATCCATACTGCCTGGTAAATAGGCCTAGGGAGAAGACAACAGGCTGCTACCATTTACTGTGGTCTTCTGGGACTGTCTGGTACTTAAAGTTAAGTACCTGTTTAAGTGGCTGAAACAGAATTTCATAACAAAGTCATAACAAGTCCTGTTATTTGTAAGGATTTTAGGGCATAAAATCTAACAGTATGTTTAACAAGCAAACTGTTCTCATAGGTTTAGGGAAAAAAGCAAACAGCCACAGGGTGTGAAGCAGTGATCTGGCCCTGTGAATGTCACTTATATACCTAGCTGGCCACAGCTATCTGTAGTGAAATCTTGTTTTTCAGTGTGATCTGAGCTCAAATTAACTAATACCAATTTAAAATTCAAAGACCAAGACTATTGGAGGCTTTTTCCTCAGTTTGTCTGTTGCAGAAATGCTAAGTCATGATGTGCAGCAGTGATTGAGCACTGGTGGAAGGCAGGGCCAACACAAGGGAGCTCAGGTGCATGCAATGAACCTGAGTGACCAGAAGGGATGGAGCCAGGAACCACCCCCTCCCAGACCTCATTTAAGGGTTGGCAGTGGAGGGAAGGGTATCTTGTTGGAGGTTTCTCTGTGCCTGAAGTTTTCTGAAGGTAAGCAGTTACTTTGGCTGTTGCATTTGATCAAATCCTCGTTTGCTCCAGTATGGGGTCTTGCTGTTCTGCTGTCGTTGCTGCACTTCCACTGTGTTTCGTGGTCTAATCAGAGAGAGATTCTGGTAGTTACCTTTGCTGGACTAGGGCCTCACCTTGAAAAAGTGTTTGGGATGTGAAGGCCACTCTGTTTCCCAGTTGCTTCTTTGACTGTAGAAGGCGGAAGGCACCACTTCTCTTTCTAATATCTCTTTGAATATGAGATTTGCCGTTGATGTCTGCTTCCGCAAAATACATCAGTGCATGCCCAACTCCTTGCTTAGGACAGTGTTGCTACTTTATATAATTCCTGTACGTGCCAAATCATACTTTGGTTGAAGCAATATGAGTTGGGCCACAGTTTCCTGTTTTGCCTGTGAGTCTGGAGAAGTGGAGAACAGAAGACAGCAACTGCTTCCTCCTTATTCCTCCTGAAGCACCAACCTGGTTGCTCTCCCTGAGAAGGAAGATGCTGCTTCTCTTCAGTGAAGTTGCCCAGAGTTATTGCTCTCTTCTAACTCTTTTCCTTTGTGTCTTTTCCTCTTTTCTACTTCCATGAGAAGCAGTAGATACTGAGGCTAGAATTTCTACTTTTGACGGTTTTTGTGATTAATGTTTGTACTGGCATTTATTGCTTTGATGTTATCTCACCAACATGCTCTTCATTGCTATGTAACTTTGAACATCTGGGACAGCTGCAATTCTACCACCAAGGAAAAGTCAATAGGAAAGAAAAAATTCTGAAGTCCCAACAAGAGTCACCTGTAAACTCTGTCATAAAAGTTCAACCTCCTCTATTTCATTCACCTGGGTGAATTCTTCTACCCCTACTTCCATTTCAGTGCCCACATGTGTGAGCATCTTGGTTGCTGGGGTTTGCTGGTAAACTAAAAAGAGACTTTGAGCCTCATGTGCCATCAGTTTCACGTGACTGGGTAGAGTGAGGCTAGCACCCAGTTTGTGAGCATCAGTGATGCTTATATTGGTAAAGCTGGTTTTGAAGGAAGCCCCTGGGCTGGTGATCAGCTCTTTCTCTGAGCCAAAGGGAGGAAGGGTGCAGTTATTGGACCTGCTTTAGTTTTTTTGATTGCGTTTAGCTTTCTGCAAACTCTTCTCTGAAACCTTAGACACTCAGGCCATCAACTGAAAATGTGTTAGAATATCAACATTATTTACATCTTCTTATCTACATATAGAAGACCTCTTTCATACCATTCTAACCCCTGCTTTTAGTCCTTTATAGTCAAACGGTCCATTTAGCTGTAGTAGGATTTTGTATTAATCAAATGTTGCCTTTCTGTGGTATTTCAGTGCTTTGTCTATTTTGCCTTTCTCTATTTTGCTATCCAAAAGCAGGTGTCTGGGAACACTCTACCAAGAGGTGTATTTAAAGAACTAGATCTTTGCATGGTATTTATATTTATTATCATGTGATGGAAGAGGGGGGAAAAAAATCTTTGTGACATTTACTTATGCAGCCCACCTGTTGCTGCCCATAGCAAAGCTGGGATGTTTGTATACTGCTGTAGTTTACTTGCTGTGTTCCCTATGATGATAAAGCTGTAGTCAGAGAGTCTTCATTTCAACTTGTTTAAATTGCTAGTAAGAAAGAGTGAACCTTAGATAATGAAAGACAAATGGATACTGCTTCTGAGACACTGGAGTGCTGTCAAATAATTATTCTATTATGTTGAATATGTTCTCCAAGTTCTGGCTACCATCTGTGGTTAACTTCCCTGCCAGTTCCCTGCCAGTGGTGCATGTTGGGTTAGAAAAATCTGGTCTACAACATGTTGGCTGAGCTTTTAGCTCAATCCTCATTATCATTATATAATGAGGAAACAACTGAGGCTAACTTTTGGAATAGGGCACAAATGCTCACAACGTCCTGTCCTGCTAATTCATGAGGAATCTTTCAGTTGTGAACCTTCAGTAGAAATCACAAAGAGAAGAGCCTCATGATTTACTTCAAGAACTGAAGGATGTGTGTGCCATGGCAGTGTTTCTATGGTCCCTTATAAAAATGGTTATTGTAATAAGTGGTGATGGATGCTTGAATAGATAGATCTTGTTTATGGAAGCATTCAGTGTCAGGGAAATAGTGTATGTACAATGTACACAGACAAATGACACAAACAATTCCATTGCTCTACTGTGATATGAGCATGTGCAGCTTGGTTTGGAGTAGTTGTTAGATTGCTTTAACTTTTGACACTGCCTTTTTCTTACTAGTATTGGAGTCTGTGTAATAACATACAGGTTATGATATGTGTGTGAATAGGATGTGAGCAGAGTGGCCAGTGCACAACCTTTGAAGGGGTGAAATGTGTTTCTAATAGGGGTTTTGAGAGGTGTTTTAACTCCTCCCCAGTCTCTGGGTAATGTCCTGATGTTATGGTGTATTAGTTCTGGTAAGAACAAAGTAAGATTTCCTTTCAAGACCATCTCTCCTTATGTAAAATGCTGCTGATTTAATATAGGTAGTATTTAGGATGGGAATAGAGCTACAGAGGAAAAAGAGCACACATTGTATGATTTTTAGTGCTTTAGCAAAAGACCATTTTACCCAAGGATCAGGAACTTTGCACCATGGGCTCCTGGAAGAACTGGTGACTTGGCATGGACGTAGCCCTGTTGTTAATTCCTTTGTGTTTTAAGTACAAACATGTAGACAGCAAACAGAACATATCCTGAGAGGAGTCTCACCTCTTTTGCCAAATAGGTAATTCTGAAATACAGCACTGGCTTAAAACAGCCAGAAGGTTTTTTTGGAGCCAGTCATTCTCTTTGGAAGAGAAGATCAGATGACAAAAATGAAGACGTATTTCAGATACAGTTATGTAGGAGTAGGAATCTAGATAGGAAAATTAATTTGGAAACACACTTTCTTCACCAAAGAAGCTCAAGCAGGTCTTTGCTTTAGCATGTTGCTTCCAGTATGAATAGTGGGTGA